CATAGGGTTGTATTTCTTATGATGACCCTCTTTGAAATCTATAACTATGGTTGAAATATATATATATATATATATATATATATGGGCCTAATGAAATGAGAATTAATTAGTTTGTGGTAACTGTGAAATCCAATCTTAACCACAAATTAATAGATTAATTAGAAAATTTATAATTTTAGTAATTTTGAATTAAAATTTTAATGCAAGGACATTTTTGGTATTTTAAAACTATCCTCTCTCCGGCCACCGTCCTTCGGTGATACCACAATGGTATCACAATGCATCATATATGTGTTTAGGTATCACATTGAGATCGTTTGTGTGGTCGATTGAAGATGTAACACAGTGGTATCACAATGCATCTTATATATGCTTGGATATCACACTGTATCTTTTGTTTAACAGTGTCAATATTTTTAGGTATCACAGTGGTGTCACAGGAGGACGGTGGCCGGATGACAGAGGACGGAGAGAGAAGAGAAGAGAGAGGAGAGAGGAGAGAAAATACCTAAAATGTCTTTGCATTAAAATTTTAATTTCAAAATTACCAAAATTATAAATTTCCTAATTTATCTATTGATTTGTGGTTGAGATTGGATTTCACGGTCACCACAAACTAGTCAGTTCTTCCTTGAATGGACCCATATATATATATATATATATATATATATATATACTTGGGATCATGTGAGACCAAAGGTTTTTCGTGAGACCCGTAAGACCAATTCTCAACCCTTGGATTAGATCTACAATCTGACAATTTGAACATTCATAAACGCCAAGAGGCTTCTCAATAATCACAAAATTGTCACCGTACAACTTTAGTCCGTTAGATCATTAGCTTATAAAGTTGATCAATGAACATAAATTGGTCTTACAGGTCTTACAAAAAACCCTTGGTCTCACGTGAACCCAACCCTATATATATCTATACTACATTAATAAGCATTTAGACCTATATCTTAAGTACAAGTTTTTAAGTTTAAAGTACCATCATTTTATGCAACAAATTTAAAAAACTCTTAATTACAAATTATCATGCATAATGTACAAGTTGTTTATGCAATGGTTTTCAAACACCAAAAATTACCCATTTTGGACCGGTTTCTTCTTCCGGTTTCCTTCTTTTATTTCTCCTACCTCTGCGACCACCAAGACCAAAAAATTTCTTCTCTTATGTATCCTTTGTCTGCGACCAACAACATTTTGGGTTAGGAAGCAGAGGGTCTTTCTTCTTCACTGACCTCATTTGCATAACAATGGTGGTGTAGATGTATCACCTCGATCAAAGAACCGATTTCATGTATCAAAGGGATTTGATGTATCAAATCCTCATTGATACATATAGCTCCCTCCTCCCTGTTGATTTAATTTCACAGGTTCTTCAAAACCCTAGAATTTGGAGGTATGCTCTTCTTTTTGGTATGCTCTTCTTTTTGGTATGCTCTATTTCAATTTTGATTTCTGCAACCACTTCTGATGAGAATATAACTTTCTTTCTTCTTTCTGGTTTAACGATCGATGAAGGAATCCCCATGCTATTTACAAGTTATAGGTAAGAATCCTCTTTTGCATTAAGAATCCTCTTTTGCATCGCTTTGAAAATTTGAGGTACTGTGTGTGGTTCGTATTCTTGGAAATAGATTTATATGTTGTTTGGTTGTTATTAAAATTTATGTGTTTTGGTTCTGTGAATTTTACCATTTGCTTACCATATGAACTGGGATTTCGATTTTGTTGTTTTGCCTATTTTGTTCTCTTTGTGTTTTGCCTATGCATATAAGCCTATYATCACAGCTTGTATGCCAGGTGTTTGTAAAAATGCATGACTTGTCTGATGTGTGTAGTAGTAAAATATGGTTCCTCCATCAACAATGGCATGCTGCAGCAGCAGCCTGCTGTAATGCATACATACCCATATGCCTTTRTTTCAATACCGACTAGCAAATGAGAAACAAGAAAGCATGAAGCAAGTAGACTGGTCACTTAGGCTAACATTCGTTTTGGAACAGGTTTCATTTTCTGGTCTTTGATAGCAACATAAAATAAAAAGAAGAAAATGAAACACGACTAATTAATCATTGTTGCCCTCCAACAGGGATCATTGAAATTCTAGGAGTTACTGAAAGGGAACAGGAGTAGTCAGACATGCCTCCTCATGTCCAGCAGGCTCACCGATCTGGTAGTGGTAGCTGGTGGTCAAATGGGTGGCAGAGCTGGTGGACACTGGAGATTGTTCTTAGTGTTAGTTAATTGCCTGGAAAATGTTGTTCACTTTTACCAAAACAGTTTATGCCCAAGTCCTTAGGGCAGTAGCCAATAGATAGTAGAACATAATGTGTCCATATAGTATTGCACCGAGGAACATATTAAAGATCAGAATCATTCCAGACCAAGGTTCTCATTATAACACCAATGTCAATTCAACTAAGTATATATCATAAAATGGAATCTGCAGAAGCTGTTGGTGGATTATTCCAACATAATTTTAGTTAAACTAATACACTTTAACTAAAAGATTAGAATACAATTATACTAACATGGTCAGCATGGTGGATTGATCCTACATCTTTTATTATTTCTTTATATCTCGACAATGATTGGATTATTTTGATTCCTGGTGATTTGCAGAGGCCGTCTTGAATTGAACTAAGCAGCTATATTATCTTCTGTCTGGTGGTTCTTTTTGTCTTAGCCAGCAGCATTTCTGCATTTAGTATGTTAGGAATTTGCACATTTTGAAGATATCATCACCAGGTTGGTTAAAAACATCCCCTTTGTTGTATATTCATATATTATGATGCAAAATTGATTACATAAGTGTTAAAAGATCAACCAACATGATCTTTAWGGCTTTAGAAGAAGCATCAATACATCATTATTTAAGAAAATGKCATTTTGTTGAAGTAATTGGAAGATTGAAAAAAGTTTTATAATTGTATTTAAGGCCAGGGTTAGTGCCTTTGTGGTTTTGAAAGGCAAAGTTATATTAATGATGATGGTACAAAAATAACCTGCACAATTGATCTGTACCATTGAACAACATACTACAAACTGATACACAAGATCACCTATTTAAATGAAAGGATACCATGAAATCTTTTTTTTTTTTTTGGTAGAAAGCTTCTACAATTAAGATCACTTTTTGGTATTTTTTATGGACTCTTAGGAAATTGTATAACGTGGATCCAAATGACTACATGTTTTCGATTTATGGGATGAGGATCTTCAGGAGCTCTATTCTCTTGCAAAAATGGCAACTTTTTTTGCATGTGAATGATGATAGGTATATGATAAAGACAATGAAGAAGGCATAAGTGATTAGTCTTGAAAAAAGTATATTGAGACATGTCATTAAATATAATAGGGTTGAGTAAGTCTTAGTTTGAGTTGGGTTTTGAAGGATGTATGTGGGTGTAAAATTAAGTCTYATTCGAAAGAGTACTCAAAATATATTTTGGATAGARACATTTTTTCGGTTAGATTATGTGTATAATTTTGTAATTTCTGATCATTTTGAATAAAAATTGACTTGGAGTAGTCATGATCCAAAAAATTTATCTAGAACATCGATTTGTTTTAAAAAATGGTTTGTTATTTTAGACATTCCATGTGAAAATTTGTTCTATTTTTACGGATGATTGCAAAAGCTACCAACACCAACGTTATGGATGGATGGTTAGTTGAATCTAACATAGGTATAGATATAGTAGACTTCATGACATTTTGAGATCAATTCTCTAAAGATTTTGTTTAATCTCCACAGGCCCTTCTGCTCCATGTCGTGCTGATATCCCAAGCTTGATTCACATCGATTCAAGGATATCCTTGATGAGGCAATTTCAACGGGTAATTGTTTCTAATTCTTCATTTAATTGAGTTGAGGATAGAAATTTTCCCATTCTATATATGGTTGGGAAGAGATATGTAAATTATGTAAGACTTTGATATCTTTTCAAAATGGAATAAGATAGAGAAACCTAACCTTAAATTCAGTTTGTTGAGTAATTAATGAAGAAAAAATGTAGAATCTCTRATTTTAGAAATTGAGTAATGTAGTTGATCTTCATTTKCAGGAGAGGTGAAGTCAATGAAAGCATACTAGAAATGGGCTAAACAGGTCTTTGAAACAAAACCACCGACAAATCCATTACAACATAGGGGGAAGTGAGCTAATACTTTCCGAAATTTTGTTCATGTGGTGATTATAATGTTTTGGTTCTGACTTCTGAGAAACTAAATCATGATTGTGTTGCAAATCAAAAATAGAGTTAGAAGCAACAAAGGGATTTGTTATTATACAAATTCCACTTAAAAGATTTGTTTTTGTACGAACGATTGCAAAAGCGACTAATACCGACATTTCACATAGATGGTTATTTGACTCTACTATAAGTACAAATGTTGTAGGCTTTATGACATCTTGAAAGACTTTGATATCTCGAAATTGAATAAATTTTAATGAACTTTTACATCCCGCCGCATTGCGCGGGTACACAACTAGTATATATATATATATATATATAAAGAAGAACCATTAATGTTTGAGGTGACATCATGAGAATTGTGTATTGCGGTGTTGTTGAATTGTGATTGAGTTTGATATATCCCACATTGGTGAAGAGTTGAAAGATTTGAACAAAATAAAGTATATAAATAAAGGTGGATTGAATGTCTTTGTGTTAAATAATGGGGTTTGTCTCATAAATTTATCTTTATTTGAATAACCTTCTCTTAAATCTATAATCATGGTGGAACCCAAACAAACTAAATGGTAAGAATTATAATGTAAAATTAATTATATTAAAGATTTAAATAAAATGAAATGTATAAAAAAAATGGATTAGATTCTTTTATATTAAATAATAGGGTTTGCCTAATAAAACCTTCCATGACCCTAGAAATTAAAAATAACCAAGAATCCAGAATTCTTTTGGGCTTACCACGATAACTCTACTTCTCAAAATAGAGAAATGGTCAAATACTAAAAGTTTATGCCAGATGGCAAGTGAGATGATATTAGGTTTTGTAAAACCTTTGCAACACCGCTACTTCCTTCCTGCATTGACAGAATGGCGACCGAAGAGGAGAGCGCCGTGAAGGAGCCTTTGGATCTCATCAGGCTCAGTCTTGACGAACGTATCTATGTCAAGCTTCGTTCTGATCGCGAGCTTCGTGGCAAGCTCCATGTATGTCTCTTTAACCTTCTCTCGATATAGCATATGTTTAGCTTGTTCCTAGTCGTGCTCGAAACGTATGATTGATTTTGCGGTGGATCAGGTTTTGTTTTATTTTTTGAATTTTACAATTGGAGATGTTAGAATCCCCGTTCGTCTTAGGAATCTTAATTTTATAACTTTGTGATGTGTGCTGGGATTAAACTTTTAATCCTTTCTCTTGTCGAGTATGGCTAGTTGAGAATGTATGGAATTATAGTATTGAATGTGTTCTTAACTTTTACTAGAATCCTGATAGCAGTTGGGTTCCCCCATTTCATACATTGAAGCAAATCAACCAATCATTTGCAAAGTGCAGACAACTGAAACTTTCCGAAACCTAGTTCTAAACTACACAACGTTTCTTACTTATTGCCATACTTTTCATGGTTTAAAAGGAAACGTTTCTCGAGATTTGAAATATACTAGCTTTACTTTACAACTTGGATTTTGAAATGTTGTGGATAAAGTGGAATAAATACTGGATGTGAAAGATGTAGCCCTGGTAGGGAGAAGATATAACTCTACGACTCACCGGATAGGGAAGTGAGAGAAGTCTCACAGATAATGCTAAGTACATTGATTATGAAATTGCCAGAGTTTATAGAATTTGGCTACTTGGGTCATAGCTTTAGAGGGGTTGTAAGGAGGAAAAGGATTTGTGATTTGAGGAAGTTGTTACAAGGATTGGGTTTGGATTGAAGATAAATACAGGCTACATTCCTTCAAAAACATACATTGCTGCATCTTATGTGGACAAAACTATGATGAAACCAAACGAGCCCAATATATCCCATTTAGAGGGGTAAGATGTATGCATACTTGACATCTAACCGAAATGATAAAGTGACTATTTCGGTGAAAACGCCCTGTTAGTGAAAAGTGTGTGATAGGGAGAAAGATAAAGTTGAACACAGTTGTCTGTTTGTTGATAAACTTCAGAATATCTGCCCTTCTACCAAATCCCAGATTTGGCAGTTCTTTTTTACTGTGTATGTATTATTTTAACATTTGATCTTATCCAGCCCTGTTTGATCAACTTATCCATGGGAATGGGGGAAGGATTAAGTTCAGGCCCCTGTGGGATTAGTTGAGGTGCGCCCACAAGCTTCCCGGTGGACACCTACAGTTATCCAAGTTATATTTAATTTCTTAAGTTTGAATGATTTGCAGTTACTTTTCAGTAGTTTTCTGCTATAACTAATTACATGGACAATTTCAGGCTTATGATCAGCATTTGAACATGATTCTTGGGGATGTTGAAGAGATAGTTACAACAATCGAGATTGATGATGAAACATATGAAGAGATTGTTAGGGTATGTTGTATTTTATCTCTCTTTTCTATCTTTATGCCTATTTTTAGGTTATACTACTATTAAGCTCATGAGATCTTGAATTTGGGACATGTTTCATGCATTGTGAACATTCTATTCGACTATTAGCCCTTAGTTCACCTTACAATTTTAACTTGTCTCAGACTTACGATATTATGACACATATTTCTGCGTTTATCCATGTTTACTAGTTTCCAACTTTTTTATTTTGTGAAATTCGATTCTTCTTTCAGAGCACAAGGCGCACTGTTCCCTTCCTTTTCGTTAGGGGAGATGGTGTCATTTTGGTTTCTCCTCCACTAAGAACAGCCTAAGCTAGAAGAAGAATTGGAGATTATATCTTGTAATGAACAACATGATGTCACATATATTGCTCTGGCAAGATCGTTCTTTGACGGTTAGGTTCTCACCATCTTCACATTGTAAAAACCCTATGTAATAGAATTACACGGTTTTCGTGTTTTGGTTTGATCATTATGAATCAACCAAGAAGCTTTTATCTTTCTGTTCTACCTACAATACATGCTGAATTGCTGATGCCTTGCAAAAATAACTAAGCAATATCCATTGATATAGATTCCAAAAAAAGAAACCTTGTTTGGTTGGGTGGTTATGATATCTTCAAGTACTCAAAATAAATGCTTAAAATATGAGTGGCTCTAGGATCTTTCCAAATCTTCTCATTCCTTTTTTCTAGCATGTAACACCCGGGACAACAAAAAACCCCGTATCTGATTCGGAATCCGATACCCGACCCCTATTCGACCGGGGAATCTTCAAGTTGACTGGGGGACAGGGAATGGCAATAGGGAATCCCCGAATTAATAAACCGGGGATGGGGATACCTTTATCCCCGAACTCGACGCTGAGTATTAATTATGCATTTCTATATATATAGGGGTGGGTTCAATTCCATTTTCATCGTAAACATTAGGACAATCTCGGCTATTGATTAAAATTTAGAAGACTAATCAATGGTTAAAACATATAATGCTTAATTGAGAAGTGATTAGAGGCAAAATTGTAAGTTCAAATCATTGTCTACCTTATTTGATTTTTTATTTTCTTTTATAATTAAAAAACTTTTATCCCCTTAATTTTTAAATTAAATTATCTTAAAAATAACTAATATTTTAGTCAAACAAATTACGTTAAAAAATTGAACATTTCATCCTCCTCGATTTGACATTCATCTCAATAGTTTTTTTATATGAAATAATATATTTGTGTAATATTTATCATGAATAAATATACACGTTCATATGATTATAACAATTCTTTAATATGCATGCATTAGTATGATATTTATTATGAATATACAACGTAGTATAACATTCATCATGAACAATTATGTATTTTCACATGTATTCAACAAATTCTTCAGTGTTCATACATCATTACAACATTCATTATTAATAAACATTTAATTTAAATATTATTCATTATGAATATACGTTTCTTTTATAACATTTATCATGTATATATATGTGTGTGTGTATGTTCACGTGTATACAATAACTTTTCAGTATTCTTACATCAGTATGATTAGGGCTGTAAACGAACCAAACGAACACGAACAGAGGCTTGTTCATATTCGTTCGTTTAACTTAACCGAACAAACGAACGAACACGAACGGTAAACAAACGAAAATCTTTGTGTTCGTGTTCGTTCGTTTAGAAATAAGATGTGTTCGTGTTCGTTTATGTTCGTTCGTTAACATGCTAAACGAACGTAAACGAACGAACATAAACGAACGGGCTAAACCAACGTAAACGAACAGATTAAACGAACATAAATAAATATTATTTGAATTCAAAGTAAATAAATAAAAGATTATATATTAAATTTAATATATAAACAAACATAAACGAATGAATATAAACGAACGGTAAATGAACGAACGTTCACGAACATAAATGAACGAACGTTCACGAACATAAATGAACGTATGAGACTCTTGTTCATGTTCGTTCGTTTAACTAAACGAACAAAAAAATGTGTTCATATTCGTTTATTTATTAAATAAACAAACATAAACGAACTTCACGCCGAACGGTTCATGAACGGTTCGCTGAACATTCGGTTCGTTTACAGCCCTAAGTATGATATTAATCTTTAATATATATTTTTACTATAACATTCATCATGAATATTTATATATGATCACGTATATATAACAACTTTTTACTATGATATTCATCATGAATATACAGTATTACTATAACATTCATCATTAGTATTTATACTATTCATCATGAATATACATAATATTCATCATGAATATTTATATATGTTCACTTATATACAACTTTTCAATATTCATACTAGAGATGCCAAAATCCGGTCCTTAACCGGTCCCTACCGGTCCTAATCAAGACAAAAACCGGCTTTAATCGGTCCTGGTTCCGGTGAAATAAGTTGTAACCGGTCAAGCTTACCGGTAACCGGTTAAGAAATCCGGTCCTGGTTTCGGTCCCATAACCGGTCAAGGCCGGTCCCATTCAAATTTTTTTTTTTTTTATTTATTTTTTCAAATTTTTGGTTATTAATAAATTTTTAATATGTTATTAATATGTTTGTAATATGTTATTTTTAATATGTTTTATTATAAATACGTTTAAAAATACGTTTTGTTATATAT